AACTTCACTGTAAATGATATAAGGAACTTGTTTTTATAGATTGAAGAAATTTGGTTTCTAATTCGCTAAACCTGCTTATTTTAAGAACATGTGAAATAGTATAATATGTGGTGTTTTTTGGCATATAACCAGTTGAAGTGCATGATCGATTCAAATGAATAAATTCAGTGTTTACTTTTGTTTATTTGAACTATTGAATTCGGGTATTTTTTTTTTCTTTAACATTAAAACCTGCTATTGAGCTACGTGAACAAATAGTTTACTCAGATTAATTATTAATTTGAAGTTCATTTTGTATATCCTTTGTCTTAAATTTATGAGATTAAGAAACCATGCTTCTGTGGTTAGATGAAACTGGAAGGATCATTAAACAAAAGTAATACCAAATTTACTTTATGGCGTCGTTTTACTTGTTTGTGCTTCCATAACCGTCAGAAGTTTGATAATGGAACTTTTAATCATGATGAAAGTAATTGGGTTGAGATTACCACTCTTACAACTTTATTACTAAAAATTATCCCAAAAAAATTAAATCATGCTCTTTGAAAATGGGGAAAAGAAATGAAATTATGTTTTTCACTAATATTTTTCTTTTGATTCATAGGAGAAGGTGAAGAAGTCTTAGTACGTAATTTTATGATTATATATAGTTCTTTGTTCTTTATCATTTCTTGCTCAAGGGATGTTTAAGAGTCTCTGCCTTTTTTAGCGTCGGTTTTCAAAATTTTACTGGTTTTTGGATGTTGATCAAATTTGTATTAGCCTATTAACATTTCTGTACTCTAAATTAAGCAAGAATTTCACAAAAACAGGGTGGCTAGATCATCTGGTTATCCTAATACTTACAGTCCACTAGAAGAATCTTCATTTTGAGTAATTGTTTCTTTAGCCATCCATCTATAAATGACAAGTGTTATCAATATGGTTTGATTCCTTATCGTGTTAGTGTGATTGTGACTGTTGAATGATTAATACATATTAGAGATACACTTTTAACTATAATCGTGATTTCGAAAGAAATGTAATGATTTAGTAGACCATATTTGTATTACATATTCCTTTATCTTCTCTTCTTATTTTATCTTAATTTCGAAGATCTCTAATTTTCTATTTCAATTACCTATAAATAATTATTTAGCAATTCTATTTAGTGACTAATGAAATTTGATGTGCTTTTGAGGATAAATTTGAATTTATAGATTTAGTTGATTGTCTTTATAGCGAGTTCATATTTGCTATTTTTCCATTTCTCCTGGATAATTTAAATATTTAATTTTATAAGTTTTCCACAATGTGTAATGGGAGTGTCCTTTGTGATCAAATTTTTAGGTGGGATGATTGTCATATATTCAAATTCTATGAATCCTAGACTATAGCGAGGATTTTTAAGCCTAATGGTGGTACAAATGTTCGTTATGTCTTCTTAGTGTTTACTTTTGTTCATTGTTTTCTTTCTATTACTAGATGCTTAAATTCTCAATCTCAGTTTTATTGCAAATTTATGGGAATCCAATAAATAAATAAGTTAAATTGTGATTGATGAGTAATTCTTTGTTGGCAGTAAGTTAAGTGAAGAGGAGAGGAGAAAACTTTCCACAGTGGGGATAGCTGGTCAGGCTGGGATAACGCTAAAGATGATGGGTACGATAATTTCTATGAAAATGAATCTGGTCACAGGGGTGCAAGTTATAATGGAAAATTAGAAAGCAAATGGACTGGGTAGTTTTCTTTAAGGTTAGCAATTTCAATTCCAATCGTCTCATATTATGATCCATCTTTTTGGAGAACCTATTTCAACGTGTGGTCTTTTCTTGGAAATAGGGTTCCATCCTTGTTTGCACTGCTTATGATTATTGGTCGATAATTATTTCAACTGATTATTGGCAATTTATTGAAATTATCTGGTCAGAGTTTTAGTGCATTTGGTAAAATCATATGTGCGTCAATGCTGGACCTACTTGCTAATAAATAAGTTTGATAATTGATTATTGAGGAAATCATGGGAAATACGTCGGTGAATAACCAATAATCAAGTAAAAAATTTCACTTTTATTTCTCAGATGTTTGTTTTATCAAATTGGGCAAAGCTGATTTTGTTCCAGTTTCACTAATGTGTATATTTCAGGCTGACATTTGGATGGTGCATGATGACTGCGGTTCTCATAGTAATGTCTGGAACAATTTCAAGTAGATGATTTATAGACTTCTTTTTCCTCTTCATTTTCTGAACTTTTCCAAGTGAATGATAATGGAATTTTAATCGAGCATTAATAAAGAAATATATAAAAGAATGCCCAAAATATATGGCCCAATTTCTTTTTTCCGCTTTCAGTTTTTAGATTAAAAAGTATCCCAATATAACCATTATCAATACATACACTTGACGTCGAGTCGTGCAACGCACGTCCGACACTAGTTCCCCAAAATATTCCAAATAATCATTTTTACACCAAAAGTAAATTTTAATTTGGTCAATGAAATGATAGAGTTTCAATTTGGATTAGACATGTTAGTGACATGTGGTAATCGAGAATTAATTAGTACTGGATTAAGCTACTTGTGCGTAGTGTTCTAAAAAGCATAAAGAGTGGCTAAGCGTGGAGGTTGAACTTCAAGCTTTCAATCTTGAGTTAATATCCTAAATAGTCATTAAATTTTGCCAAAAGTTCTCAGGAGGTCACCAAACTTCAAAAATTCCCTAAATAGTCACTAAATTTTGTAATAAGTTCCTAGTTGGTCACTGAACTTCGTTAATACCCTAAATAGTCACCTAACTTTACCAAAACCTTCCAAAAGGCCACCGAACTTTGTAAATTAAGACCCATACATTTTTGGTTCATTATCAATTAGGAATTTTTTGTAAAGTTGAGTGACTATCTAGAGAAGTTTTGGCAAATTTCGGTGACTATTTAGGGTTTTAATGAAGTTCAGTGACCTCCTAGGAACTTATTGCGAAGTTCAGTGACTATTTAAGGAACTTTTGGAGTTCGGTGACCTCTTGAGAACTTTTAGCAAAGTTCGGTGACTATTTAGGGTATTAACCCTTCGATCTTAAAAGAGCCTAAGCGACGCTTAGGCGTAAAAAACATTTTCTTATTTTTTATATTATTTTAAATTTTTAATCATTTTAAAAATTAATTAATAATCAAAATAATACATATCAAATATTTAAAATTATAAAATACTATATTTACTTAATAATTCATATAATTGGTTAATTATACAATTTTCGTGTTTTCAAAATGTAAAAACTAGATTATTTTCCCTATTTTCAATTTTCAACTAGACAAGTCCTACTTAATAGATTTATAGAAATTTCATACACACTTTCAAAGTTTTCAACAAAATAACATATCTCAAGATTGTAATTACATATGTAGATAGCACTGCAACTTAATCTTATTGAACTATTTTTCGAATAAAATTATTTAACTTTTGTATGGGTAAACTCTTTTAAAAACTTGAATTAAAGTCAAATGAAAAGTTTTTTAAAAAAATAAATAATAATAATAATAAATTCAAGTCAAATAAAAGACTTTTAAAAAAATAATAAAGCGTGTCGGGAAAACAAAAGAGATGAGGAAAAAATTCAATTTTTTTAGGAATTGAAAAAGAAAAAGCCCTTAGGCGCGAAGCGTGGCGTTTTGCCCGAACTTTAAGTTTAGGTGGTGCATAAATACAATCCAGACGAGCTTTTTAGAACACTGCTTGTACACACAATCACAGTGTAGACCTTGGTTGACATCCCCCTGTGTCAAAAATATAACAAATGATTATAAAAAAATGTTGTCAAGATCAATGTATCAAAATCTGTTAATTCATGGGTGTAAACCAAAGTGTCAATCTTTACGTAGCGTCATTCTATATAATCCTGAGTATTTTACGGAGGTTTGTACTTCATTCACTTTAACAAATTAAAAAAACTCCGTTGAATCAGTAAAAAATACCTTATTTTGGTGTTCAATGTTCTTGGTGTCTATGATGCCTTCGGATTTATAGTTCGTAGTACTTATGTAGCTTGATTATTCATATTCAGATAAGAATGAAGGAATTATGAATCCCCAGCATAAAACAATAAGGGTGTGATTTGATTGTATTTATTTTTCATGAAAAATATCATTTTCACCCAAATTTCTATTTTGAAATGTTTGATTGCTATTTTTTTCGCGAAAAATATTTTCTAACTTTTAAATATATGTCTAATTTTCCTTGTTTTTAAGGAAAATATTTTCTTTAGGGTGAGTAGAATTTTGTTTTCCTCAAAATAAGAAAAACATTTTCTTTTCTAAGATATTCCATACCAATCAAATACACTCTAAAATCCTTTCTTCATGAACAAGGCCACTAGAATAATCCAAACAATAATTTGGATTCGACCAACACCACCACATACACCAACGACCACTCCACTTGCATCGGAGAAAATGAACCAAGATCTTGCTCGCATCTTTCTTTGTAATATAGTGTCACAAATTCAAATATTATGTTAGCAAAGGTGTAGACCAAAAAGAACATAGCCAAGTCGAGGATCTTGAATGTCTAGAAAGGGTAATAAAACAAGTGACATCAACAGCTCAAAAGGTCAACAATTAGTGCAATTTTGATTCAAATACAAGATAGAACTATTAAAATTATAATTGGTTTTCTTCTTTACTTTCAAATCCTTCCTACCAAACATGGCATTTAATGTTTAAAATGTTAAATCTACAAAACCCTTCAAAAGTTATTCCAGGGTTTTGGTTCACCAACAAGACTCGTTCTCCCACTGTACATATAGTCAGCGCCTTTTTGGTAATGAGACAAACCATGAAGAATGCAGATTGCTCTCTACATAATAGATCAATCACGTAGCATACAAGTTATATCAAGAAATATCCATAATTACTCAGAGAAAACTGCATTTGTTACATACAAATTATCAGAAATTCTAGTACTCGTCCAAGAGACAAAAATTCCCGCAAGCCTCAAAGGTGCTGTCAAATAACCAAATAATATAATTATTACATTGGTAGCTCAAGTAGTTCTCGTATTCCTTCGTGAACCTGCATGCCACCAATAGAAAATGTTGTCAAACTGAGAATAGTTTTGTGCTAGATCAAAGGAAAATTTCAATATTCATTGATGCGATTTTTGCAGGCATCACATATTTTCTCAAGTACTAATAATGTTGAATAAAATAAAAAATATATTACAACCATGCGAAGGTTTATCATAGTCCTAGTCTCCTAAAGCAAGCACACATCCTGGATTTGAGTCTTATCACTACCAGCGACAAAAAATTCCATTTATCAGGCTTATCATGAAAAATGAATAAGTTCCAACATTTTTACAATAAATAGAGAATGCGGAAGTCAGTTGGATATTTGGAGAGGTAACAAAATCCATACCATCTTGATCTGCGCTTTAATAGAAGCAATTAATTGAGTATACTCCTCTATTTGCCTGAACAGGGATACAAATGTACACCACATAATCAAAAACATTAGTTGATTTAGGTTCTGAACTCAAACTAAGGACTTTATGTCCACAAATGATGCATTAAAATAAAAAAAGGAGAGAGAGAGAGAACTTTCGTAGACGAAGACAGAATAAGAGCAATGATAGGTAAAGCGCAGTGAGTTTCCATAGGCAATGGCTTCATACCGTCCTACTAATCAGCTGATTTTGTAACATGAATTAAGCACTACTTTGGATATTTTTGGCTAAGCTCAGAGGCGTTCCTACCCCTTTGAAATACTAGGCTGTATCCCATTGTGAAGTTGGGCAAAAAAAAAAAAAAAAATTGGTCCTCCCTTTTATTTCATCGAATTGGCTCCAATTTTTTATTTTCTTTTTTACTTTATACCCATGTCAAGTCCGAATCTAAATTTTAGACCACCCTGAAGCCAAGTTCTAGGTCCACTCCTGGCTAAGGTTAAAAATCTTTCCAAACATGTTAGGGTATTTTACTCATTGCCTATTTTTAATTAATAAAAGTTGCTTAATTTGAAAGTACTCTCCATATACGTAATATATTTATCTTAAAAGTGAACTTTTTAAGCTTAGCCTGTAGCCAAACATGCCATCCAAAAAGAATCATACACATAAGCATATGTGTCCGTGGGATTCATTTACCCTAAGGGCCTTATGGAAAACCAATCAAATCAAGCAAAAGAAGTAGACATATCTATATGATTAATATATAGATTCCAAGACCACGAGTAGAAATTGTATGAACATCAGAATGTTTTAGTCCAAAATTCAAAGTGAAATTTTTGCCTATTTCCCAGTGGTCATGGTAAAGACCGGTAGAAATTGGCATGTCCTATTCTTTTTATTCTTCTGTCTTTACTAATTGAATTGCCAAGCATAGGGAAAACTTTTGGGTTAGCCAAAAACTAGTGGTGCCTTCTCCCAACTCGTGCTTTTATTCTAACATCAAGGCCAATTATGAGAAATGCAAGAAAGGAATGTTCTAAACGTGATAATCTAAACTTTTACTGTTCTTGGATTACCACACAACACTTCATTCAAATAAATTTGGCCAATGCATTGGGGACTAGAAGGGTCATAACGGACAAAATAATGCATCCTCAATAGAAAGTAGAAACTACTGGAATCTCAAGTAGATCATCAAATGGAACTAGATTAGAATTTTATAGCTCTTGAGGCTTCAAGAGTAATTTACTGCTTGTCCACAAGTCATAAATAAGATGTTGAATACTTGACTCTACTATGGCATATCAGTACAGATCAAAGGAGACAATACCTGGCTAACTTTTCTTCTCTTGCAGATATGAAAGTTAGAGCTTCAGACCAAGTAAACTCCACGTGAAATCCAAGTCCGACATCCACAAATATATGCCTTGTATCTGGTCTGCAAACACGAAAAACAGGTAATCAAATTTCACAGTGACGTTAATATACAATGGATATAATATCTGACCTACTTTGAAATGTAAAGGTTTCAAGTTTATGAAGAAGGGATATATTGACGGTCCTTTTAGTCATAGAAAAAATAAGGATCAGAATAGAGCCACTAAAGGATTACGTTGTCCTAAAGAGGGAGTGTTTTAGGCATTTAGATTCGATAAATAACAAGGACAGAGGATTTGAGGAGTGGACGACTATATGATATTCTAGAGATGATGAAAAAAGAGGTCCTTGTCATCAACATTTCAATGAACATAAGATTGGAAATTCATCTACTTCAACTTGGATTTTGGTTCCTGTGTCAAATTTCTAATCTCGTGCGTTTCATATCGGAGATAGTACCTCAAAGTTTTATTTTTTAATTATATTATCTACTTTCTCCTCCTCGTGTACTTAAGGAAGTACGGTAGTATGTCCCCCCTCACTTGTACTTCATTAGTATGTTTATATGCTTTTAGGAAATCATGCCATTACCCTCATAATTCCTTAAGTGGAAGCCTAAAACGTTTGCCTTGATGTGATGGATATCTGTGTTAAAAAAAAGTGAGGGAAAAAAAACCATTGTATCTTCATTTTAAGTTAATGATTGCTTCACAAAAGCTGAAACCCTCAATAAAACAAACAGCATAGCTCGACCATCACTATAAACGTAAAAATAAGATCATGCATACACATCAGCATGCATGTAGACTTCAGAACCAAGGTTGACCATCGTCCTCAGACTGGTCACACTATTCTTTTCCAGATTCTCGATGTTCCTTCTCAGATCGGAGCTACAAAGATGCAAGTTAAGCAAAGCAATATAATCAAAGGTTCCAAAATGTCAGGTCAAACTTTCCAACTCAAGGAGTTCCTACACTACTATCCAGTGACCAATTTAATTTGGGTGCAAAAAGCAGTAATGAAATAATCTAACAGTATTTTGAGAATCTATATAACCTACAAACAACAAAAATGTCTGAAGGATACAAAATCTTTTGTTGTTCAAACACCTTATCCCTGCAAAATAAATGGAAGCAGTCAGGCAGTTAAATTTATTTATTTTTTTGTTTATTTGTCAGCCACGCAAAAATACAAACAGTGTCATTAATTTCCCACAAGTCTTTAATTTGATCATAACATGACAAAATTCTTCTGAACGTAAAACCGTTAAGATTCTAATCTACAACCCAGCCAACCTTCTGAAAGAAGAGGCAAGCATGAAATAATTCATAAATGAGTTTCAATAAACCAGATACTTCAAGAAACAAATATTTAAAAAAAAAAATCTGTACTTATCATAGGACAGGGTATAAGAAGGAAATGCTGGAAGGCAACTTGGCAAGCAAGCAAATAGCTGAAGTAATAAGAAGGGGGAACATACCGTTCAGCAATAGCATGAACAAGGTCAGGTTTCAAGCGCTGATCAATAAATTCCTCAAATCTTCCAACTTTCTCTTGTCGTTCACTATTCATATTACCCCTGTTACACGGCAAAAAGGGATTACAAACCAAGCGCTGATCTAAGATCAGCAATTAGGATAAAGATGTAGAAAGTTAATTCTTGATTTATAGCTATCTAAATGCCGTACTCCATCATGGCCACCTAGACAATATTTCAAAAACTCAAGTAGTCGCATCTTAAATGGGAAAAAGTGATTTTTAATGATCAGCCCTGCTCATTCTTTTAGCCGTTGTTTGGTTTAGCTAAAAATTTTGATTGAAATCTAAGTCGAAGTCAACAATTAGTATCAACCACACATTCCATCAACTTCAATCAAAATTTAATAAAAATATGATTTTTATCTAAACCAAACAAGGGATTAATCCCCTCAAATCTGGGTCCTAATGTGTATCAATTTAATCTGATCAAATGCATAAACTAAAAAATACATAAGAATTAAATTCTATACAGCATCTTCAAACATGTTAACTTAATGAAATTTATATAGTCTCTTCAAACTCAGGATTCTCATCTAGAAAGAGCAATTCAATATGTTGCAGTTTACTTCAAATCAAGCAATGACTCAGATCAGCAATAAAATGTAAAGACTGCAACTCCAAATCAAAACTGGCGTTGTGTTTTTAAGTGAACAAAACAGTTACAAAGAGAAAAAACTGAAAGCAAGTTTCACATTCTTAATAGCATATCACAAAGTATAGCATCAACCCAAGGTTCAACTAAATCAGTCAAGCTGTGTAAGACACCAAACAAATTTCGTGTAAAATGAAATTTTGATTAAAGTTGATGAAATTTCACATCACTTTACAGCACTACGCGAAAATTTCATGTAAAATATCCTCCACAAACTTTAAGGCCGAGCGATGGAGTGTAAGCTGCTACAGGGTCCAATTCTGTAGCTTAACCTTCAGCATCAATTCAATTGTTTATAAAAGAAATTAGAAAAAAGAAATCAGAACACATCATATTTTTATTGACACAATTCAAAACGACAACCCGCAAATAGGATTTAAGGAAGCATGGGCACAGGTAGAAATCCAAATTAGCAATGGAATAAACCAAGTAACGAACAATTAATATGTATAATCACTTTGCACATACTGCTTATAATCATGGAAATATCATACCAGGGGCGGACGCAAACTTTTTATGTTGGGGGGGGCACAATCAAATTTTGAAAAAGTAACGAAAAAATTAAAGTAAGTGATATTTTATTACAATCGTTCTCTAAGTGTTCTCATATTTTGATAACGTTTTATAATTACATCATTTTCAATATTGTCAAATACATCTTTCTCAATATATGCAATCAAACTATCATTCAACAATTGATCTCCAATTCGATTACGCAAACGATTTTTGACAAAAGTCATCGTAGGAAATAGCAGTAGCTCCCGGGAAAAACTAATTTTAATGTCACAAGCTTGTAGACTATCAATTTCCTAAATCAGAATTGGCAATTGCCTTCTCAATAAATGAAATTCATCAAAATCCCTAACTCCCTAAAAGCCCTAATTAGAAATCCCTAACTATCAATTTCCAAAAAACCCTAAATCCCTAAATCAGTAAATCACTATCAATTTCCAAAAAACCCTAAATCTCTAAATCAGTAAATCACTATCAATTTCCCAAAAAAACCCTAAATCCCTAAATCAGAAAACAATTTGAAACCCAGCAATACACTCAATAAATTTACCTCAATAACAAACAATAACAGAATTCGTTTACCTCAATAAGAAACACAAATACATTATACAAACAAGTTAATCTGAGAGTTTGAGACTGAGAGAATGAGAGTGCACTGTGCAGTCTGTGAGTCAGCCGGAACTTACCTCAGATAGAAGTGACTAGTGAGGACGGGTTGGAGCTTGGAAGTTGGAACGGCGGAGGCGCTGACGCGGAGAGTGGTGCAATGTCGACTGTCGAGCCCGTGGGAGAGACTAGAGAGGACGGGTGGAGCTTAGAGACGGAGGAGACAAGCCAAACGGGAGTCGGGAGAGGCTGAGGCTGAGTGGAGGAGGGGAGTTGGGACAGAGGCTGAGACTGAGACGTGAGTTGAGGACTTGAGAGAGCTGGGAGAAAAGTGAACGAGGTTAGGACTTCAGGGAGTGGGTTTCTAACTTCTAGTTTTTTTATTTCATATTTAAAAAAAAAAAAAATTCAAAATCTGGGGGGCACATGCCCCCCAGGCCACCCCCAGATCCGCCAGTGTATCATACGGTAGTAGCATGTAACTAGTAACGTCAGATATCATATAGTATCATTAAACTTTACAAAACGACTTACCAGATGAAGAGATTCGGAAATACTGTATTTTGGGGATTTATACCATCTGCTAAAAACCTTTGTCGGCAATAGGGCTGAAGAGCCTGCGGCAGGCTCTGGGTCTGGCTGAAGTGAAAACATTTTTTTTGGACTTTTAAGATGAAGTAAAAATTGTATTGTTGGTATATATGAGCTATTGTTTGATAAACAAATTGGTCCTGAATTTTTGAAAAAATAAACATTGATCCTCTGCATTTTCTTATACAATTAATTTTTGATCAACTGTCAAGAATACAATTTAAATAATAAAGTGATTCCCGTGAAAACATGCTTCCCTTTAGAGTGGTTTGTGTCGGTAACGATTGATTGTGTACAAGGACGGATTTAGGATTTTCGATAAGGGGGCTGAAGCTTAAGAAACTCAATAGTATAAAATTTCTAATAATAAAAAAATTCAGTAAAGAATATTATTTATTAAAGTCGATCTCGAAGAAGATTTGAAACATAATATTCATCTATTAAAGAATTTAGATCCATTTTCTCAACAAGTTCTCGTTTTGGTAGAATGTGTTGACGTAAAAAAATGACTAGGCTGATTTTGTCAACTTAATTGATGATTTGTAAGATGTAAAATGATGAAATAGTAAAAAGGAAAGAGATATTATATTAAAAGGAAAGCTTGTAGAATGTGTATTGTGTATCCATCCCTCCTCCGATTGGGGAGCCATTTGGTCCTATTCTAAAAATAGGTCATTCGTAGTGCATTCCTTGAATTGCGTGTCATTGCCCATGCCTTCCTTAACTCTTAATTGGTCATTTGAGGTTAGCTCGTGATGATGCCAATGTGGTGGGTAATTATTGAAAAAAATTAATTGGTTGAAAGTAAGACACAAGCATCATGAGTGACACGTGTTGTTATGGGAATGGTAATATGGGAGGCATTGATGTCATGGATGAAGCACAAGTGGTAGTAAAGCAATGATAGTGTCTTCTAAATGACGGCAGGTATGGCCGAACTGGCCTAACATGGAGAGCTGGCATGTTATTAGACGAGCTGACCTAACTTGATAGAGCCGATCTGTCATGGTAGAGCTAATAGGTAGAACTAACTTGGTGATGTTTTAGCCCGGCCTCTTTGAAGTAACTATTGAATATTCACGAACTCTCATTCTTAAATTAAAGTAAGCCCGGTGTGATTTTCAGAGTTTGGACACCAAAAGAGTGTATCATACAATTAGCAAGAAAGTCATCCTCCATATTATTACGAAGTGCCTTCTTCAAATGTTTCATTGCTGAAAATGCTCGCTAAGTACTCGCAGTAGAAACAAGTAATCTAATCAGCATAATGTAAGTCTCCGACCTTCCACTCTCAATCAAGTCTACTTCCATAATAATAAGTTACATGCCTTCATCTAAGGTTAGAAATCAGGTTGTAAAGAAACTAATCCAATTACATTAATCAAATTACAAGTTACCCTTATTATACAAAACTAATCACCAAAAGAAACTAATTCGGTTACACTTAGGCTCTGTTTGATAGCCTTAGTTTTCCATGGAAAAGGAAAACATTTTCCTTTACCACCCTTAAAAAGCTGTTTGATAGGTAAATTTTTCCATGGAAAACGTTTTCCACCTTTTTCTAGGTACAATCATTTGATGCACAAAAGCTTGATTTTGTTTTCCCACCTATTAGTTGGGAAAACATTTTCCACCTTTTTTTTTTTTAGCAAAGGCAACCAATTCTATCAATTATTGTAAAAAAAATTTTCATTTTTGTTGACAATTTCTATGTAAAACAAAGTCAAACGAATATGGTAATTTTTTCTAATTGTTTAAATTTTTTTTTTTTACTTTTTGATAATTAGAACAAATTCTAAACGCATTGGTAGAAAAATTATCACTTTAATGGACAATTTTTATAAAAAAACGAAGTCAAACGGACAGCAAACTTTCAACATTTTTCAGGTAGAAAATTATACCAATCAAACACAATTAATTACAATTCCCAGGAAAACATTTTCTAAGAAAATCTTTTCCCTGTAAAACATTTTCTTTCCACCTATTTTCCACCCTTACAATCAAACGGACCCTTAAACTAATCAAATTACAAGTTCCCTATTAGATTCAAAACTAATCAATAAGAAACTTCTTTGTAATCCTATATTGCCTCTCCCATAACTAATAACTGAAAAGTCGGAATCTTGGATTTGGTCTTAGTTCTATCTCTTATTCGATAATCCCATTAACTCCATTAAACAACGTGGAGAATTCGGAAGCCAAGAATGCTGAAAATTGAAATATTGCAGACTGAGTAACCATTATTTTAACTTGCAAATCATAAGAAGCATTTATTTTTTAGCACGGAGAAAATTATCTTGGTGCTACCAAATAAACAATCTTGAAATTGTATCATTTGGAGATGATAGGGAGAGGTTAGAGATACAGGGAATCGAGAATATAAGATGGCGCCATCGAGAATTGCAGCCCAAAATTCGGCCATCCCCAAATTAGCTCAAACTAATCACACCGGATTCCCATCCCCGAAAAAAAAAAATAAAAAACAATTTGAGAAACGTGAAACACCAAAAAGAAAATAAGCAAAAGTGAGAGAAATTGACTAACTGAATATGTGTGAACAACGATAGATATATTCAATCCACAAAAAAATTTCGGTGATGAATGGTGCGATTCCCCGTTATCGTCCAGTAACCTGTTGCCTGTTGGAGCTCGGTGGTCGCAAGCAGCCGACTCGGGCGACGCAAGGCTGAGGTGGGGCTCAATTCAATTAGGATTTGGTGTTGGGTTAAATGTTAATTTGTTATTTATTGGGTTTCAAAAATTTGTTGGTTTTTGGTTGGGATTGGGCTAAACTTCAGAACCGGGCTTAAGATTTTAAAAAAAAAAAAAAAAAAAAAAAAAAAAGGCAACTTACAAAAATACCTTTAAAATTATGGGTCTTTTGAAAAATTATATGAAATGTATTTTGGAAGTAAAAAATATCGTCACTTTTTTAATTAAAAAATGACATAGAATCTCGCTTTTATTAAAAATGATGTTTGTTACTAAAAAAATGACAAAAAATTTAAGAAAGTAATAGGAAAAAAGTGACAAACATTATAAAAATGCACAGAAATTCCAAAAAGTGATAAACATTCATAAGTGGCAAAACACTAATCAAAACCTTAGAATCGGTTTAATAAAGTAACATAAATTTAAAAAGTGTTGACTAAAAAAAAAGTGATAAAATACCAATCAAAATTTTGGAATTAATTCAATAAAGTGACAAAATTTTTAAAAATGATAAAAACTCAAAAAAGTGACAACGCTAAAAAAAGTGACGAAACGCCAATCACTTTTTTTGGGTGAATTGTATCACTTTTTAATTAAAAACGGACATATAATATCACTTTCATTAAAAAGTGAAGTGAAATACAGTATCACAAAGTGATATTTGTCATTAAAAAAAGTGACAGGAATTTAAAAAAAAGATAACAAACAATTAAAAAAATGTGATAGAAAAAAGTGACAAACACTAAAAAAGTGACATGAATTCAAAATAAAATAAGTAAGTGACACAATCTCACTTTTACAAAAAAAAAATGATTTTGTTAGTAAAAAAATGACAAACAATAAAGAAATGTGATAGAAAAAAGTGGCAAACACTAAAAAAGTGACATGAATTCAAAAAAAGTGACAAACGTTTAGAAAAGTGACAAAAAGTTAAAAAAACTGTAAACATTCGAAAAAGTGACAAAACACAAATCGAAAACAAAACATTCATAGCAAATTTGGTTGAAGTCATTTCAAAGAAACAAAAGAAAGTAGAACTCTCAACACCAATGGACTAATAATAACATAGAAACTTGGGGATAAGTCCTTAGATAGTTAGACGTAATTTAACATTCCTTAGTAACCAACTAAGCAGCAGAGCCTCTAGTCTGATGCAACTTAGCATCAATCTCATATCATCCTCCATTTTCAATTGTAAAGAATAAATTCAGAAATTAAACTTTTATCCTTTAGATTATAGAACATGCAAGAAACATGAAGAGGAAATGGAGAGAAATTGTAAATGCTTGGGGAAAAGAAGAAGAAATCAATCAAATAACAGGAACAAAAGACCCATCAAACCATGAACTCCAATTTCGATCTCTCATCAACAAGTCATTCCCAACTATCCCCCAATACTCCATCACTTTGTCTTTATTTCCATAATTTCTATATCCGAATACAAAAAAAAAAATGTATACACAAAACTCAATTGCTAGAAACCATAAAGGGAACAATAAATTCCAAATAAAATACTCAAATTAATCATGACAAAATATGAATCAAAAAAATGTAACGACACAAAACCCAGTTGCTAAAATTCATAAAATATTCTAACTAACAGAATCCAACCTGAATTGCAGAACTTCACAATCAAAATCAATGGTGGAAGCTGAGAAATTCAAAACTGAGGGAGATACCAGAAGACGTGGGGAAGCCAAGAGCGATGTAAGTGTAGAGATCGATGGTGGCAACCATAGCATTGGATCCGTGAATCACTATATATTCACCTACGAGTATAATTCTTTTGGGGTGCTCTGGCTCTCAATTCTGTTTCTCAAGAAAAATTCGTAGATTCTTCATCTGATAAAATCGATCCCTTTATGAATTATGAACTATAAATTCAAGTCTCTATTTGTTTGTATGTATAAATGCCGGTAGAAATCTGTGTGTGTTAAAGTGGGAGAGGCAGAGATGGTGGAGAAATTGAATGAGAGCTAATTTGATAGATTTATCAACATATTTAATAGGTTTTTGGAAGGATTTTTTTTTTTAGGGTATTAATCTAATTTGTTAATTTTTTTAGAGTAATGGGCCTAATTATCCCCCCAAAAAAGGAAAAATCCATATTCAAGGTAGTTATAATACACAATTTCAAAATTAAGAAAATTATTTTAAAGTTTTAAGAACCGGTTCTTAATAAAGATTTATTAATTAAATATATTAAGGTCACGGTATTATACAATTTATGACCACAATTATGTACTACTCATAATTACATATGTCACGGTCACAAATTTTATAAGTCGCAACTTATTTCTCAATTGCAATTATCAATTAATTGGTTACGTATTATTTCTTGATCACAAATCACAAATTTTATAGGTCATAATTTCTTTATTGATCACAATTTATCAAATTAACATTATATTTCTCTTCAATCACAAATTACAAATTTTATATGTTACAACTTATTTTACGATCATAAATTATTAAATTAATTGGTCACGTCTTGACAAATTGTGAGTCACGATTATAAATTTAGTAGAATTTCGTATATTCTAGGTCAAAAATCATTTATTAGTCATAAATTATCTATTTTATGAGACACGTTATTTATTAGTCACACATTAATCAATTTATGGTCACGATTAACCAAAATAATTGGTTACAACCACTTTTTCCACCTCCCCATCACCACAACCTTACCAACACCGCCAACATCACCACCACCTCACCACTGCAGACACCACCAACTGCAAATACCACCAACAAAATCACTGCACGAACCAAATCCAAAATCGGCATCTTCACATAGCGACCGCTGTGCGCGACTTCATCGCAGTGGCGGATGACATTGCGGCGCACAACGCCGTTGCAACGACATCTTCGTCGCTGCGCGCGGTACTGCGTGAGTGCTGCCCGCAACGATGCCACGTTGCCACTCAAAGACGTATTTTGACAGTCTCTTCTCATCTTTTGGCGACATTGTTGTGTGAGGAAGAAAATAGAAAAATAAGGAAGAAGGGAAATAATTAGGATTTGAAATGAAATTTGGTGAGGTGGGTTGGAGAGAATAGATAGATTAGTTTAATTTTATAATATTATTTATTAATACTAAAAATTTGAATTATCACCAGAATTTTGAATAAAAAACTTTTAAATAATTGTTTTGAATTGAAAAGTTCAAAAAAAAAAAAAACCAAAAAAAATAAGCGAAAAAATCACTTTTACTAATTGATATGGACTGTTTGGTGGCCGAATAATAGTTGGAATATTGATCAAATTTGGGAGAGAATTTTTTTTATTTTTATATATCTCTTTTACTATTATATTGTAATATCTGAGGGTCTAGCCCCTGTTTGGTAGAAATTAAAATCTACATTTTAATATAAATTAAAGTTAATAATTATTTTTAATCACATATTTTATCGGATTCGCAACATTTCAACCATACATTTAATTAACTTTTATCAAAATCTATTAAAAATTTAATTTTAATCTCCATCGAATAGGGGTAAAATTTTTTTAATTGTATTATATGAATATTTTAATAAAATAATGTATGTTGTGTAATTTTTACTTTTTTAAAAGGCTGCTAGTTAATTGGGACATGCGGCCTCATTTAGTAAAAGTTAAACAAGTACTTGCTGTTTACCATTTCCTTTTCTGGAAAATGAGGAAAAAGATGAATTATTGAAAAAAATTCACTACTTATTTTTAATTGTATTTTAATTTTATTGGATAAGTGTAAATAAACTTCAGTAACACGTAGACGGGTGATGCATTATTCTAGTTGAAAAGCTAAGAAATAGGATGCTACAAGTTCATTACTAGATAGAAAAAAGAACATTGGAAGAATATTAAGAGAATCGTGACAAATTTTATCGATTTGTAGTTTATTTAGGGTACTAAATATGTCAATAAGGGTGTGTTTGAGGCACATTATTTTGGAAGAATGTATTCTGAAATAATAAATTGATGGGGAATGTGTGGTTGAAAAAGAATGAAAAGTTATTGATGTGATGAAAAATATTATTTAATTATTTTATTGAAAAATGTGTGGTTGAAAATGAGTAGAAGAATGAGAATAAAAATTTTAATGTGACTCAAACAGGGGCTAATTTCCATTCCAATATCTCCAAAATAAACTTTAGGAGTGTTAGCGCTTGTTTGGTAATAGTTTTAACTTATTTAAATTATAAATAGATAAAAATGAGTGATGAAAAAATGCATAATACTTATAGATTTTACGAAATATATGAATTTTAATTAATATTAGGTTCGATTATATTTTATATAAATATATAAGTGCCAAACACGCATGAATGAAATTAAAAAAGCGTTTCGAATGTCCTCGGATGAATTTGTAAAATATGTTAGAATATTTTATGCCTTCATCGTTCTTATATTCACGAAGATGAATTCTTTTATCTCACTCCCATTCGACTTTTCACTTTTCACCATTTCTATGAACGTTTAATTTTACCGACATAATGTTTTCATTTTCCTAAATTGTATCTTTTCACTCTCCTACAGAGGCGCGATCTCTTTAAGTTCTAACTTCTCACATTTTGAGGTGCATCTCATTGAAATATTAGAATGTTATTAGTTTTCACTATTCCTATTATGACCCTTCACCTCTAACTCTATGCAAATATGTAGCATTTTGGTTTTCAAAAATTATTTTCAATTTATATCTCCAATTTTGTTATAAAAATTAAGAAAAGAGAAGAGAATAAGGGAAGTCAATAAACTTGTGTATTATATTAAGAACTAAAGCCATATATTTATAGGGAAGGAATAGGGATACACGTGGTAATTATATCTAGGGTTGCAGGGGTACAAGTGTCTTTCACACTAAATCCTAATTTACTTTCATTTTACAACACTCTCACTTGAATGACACATTACAAAATATATGCCTCGTTAAAACCTTGTTTGATAAAAACCCAATGGGACAAAAAAAATCAAAACGAATCAAAAAGAGTACAGTTATTTTGGAGTATTAAAGATAAATGATACCTCATTAAAATCTTACTAGGAAAACCCTGTAGGATAAAACCTAAACAAGGAAAAAGAGTACAACTACTCCCCCTGATGTTGATCACTGAAAATCTTTGAGTCGACGCATTCCAATCCCGTGAACCAATTTCTTGAATGTAGATGTTGGCAGTGCTTTTGTAAATAAATCAGTCAAATTGTCACTTGAACGAAAACGAATTTGTTGAACCTCGATGTGGACATTCTTCTGAAACTCGTGTGTATGAAAAAATTTTGGAGAACTATGTTTCGTCCTGTCGCCTTTGATATAACCTCCTTTGAGTTGTACAATGCAAGCAGCATTATCTTCATACAAAATTGTTGGACTATCTTTTGTTGAAATTAATCCGCATGATGCTTGGATATGATTGGTCATGTTCCTCAACCATACACATTCCGGCCTGCTTCATGGATTGCAATAATTTCAGAATGATTTGAGGATGTAGCTGTCAATGATTGCTTCACAGATCTCCATGATATAGCCGTTCCTCCACGTGTAAATACGTATCATATTTGTGATTTAGCTTTATGTGGGTCAGAGAGATAACCTGCATCTACATATCCCACTAAAGTAGATTCCGATTTTTGAGAATAAAATAATCCCAAATCAATAGTACCCTTTAGGTAACGAAAAATATGTTTAACACCATTCCAATGTCTTTGTGTTGGTGTAGAGCTATATCTTGTAAGGAGATTTACAGAAAAAGCTATGTCTGGTCGAGTGCAATTTGCAAGATAAGTTAATGCTCCAATTGCACTAAAATATGGTACTTCAGGACCAAGAATCATTTCTCCATCTTCAAGTGGACGAAAATGATCATTTTTTATATCAAGTGATCGAACAACCATAGGTGAAGCCAATGGATGTGCATTATCCATGTAAAATCGTTTCAAAACTTTTTCTGTATATGTAGATTGATGAACAAATAATCCTTCTGAAAAATGTTCAATCTGCAACCCGAGATAGAATTTGGTTTTCCCCAAATCTTTTATCTCAAATTCATTTTTCAAATAATCTGCAGTTTTGTTGAGCTTTTCTGAAATTCCAATTAAATTTATGTCATCAACATAAGCTGCTACAATTGTATATCCAATATTTGTTTTCTTTATGAAAACATATGGGCAGACATCGTCATTTTTATAGCCTTCTTTCACAAATATTTGTTAAGGCGACTATACCACATGCGTCCGGATTGTTTCAATCCATATAACGATCTTTGCAATTTAATTGAGAACATGGTTCTCGAGTATGTATCATTTGTTTCTTGCACTTTAAGTCTTTCAGGGACTTTCATATATATGTCACTATCAAGTGAACCATACAAAGGCAATTACCACATCCATAAGGCGCATCTCGAGCTTTTGTGACACAATCAAACTAATTAAGAATCTAAAAGTGATGGTGTCCATTACTGGAGAATATGTTTCCTCATAATCAATTCCTGGTCTTTGTGAGAAACCTTGAGCTACGAGTTGGGCTTTATATCTTATAATTTCATTATTTTCATTTCTCTTTCGTACAAAAACTCATTTGTATACAACAGGGATTACATTTTCAGATGTTCGAACTACAGGTCCAAACATGTTTCGTTTCTCTAATGAATTCATCTGCCCGTATGGCTTCTTTCCATTTTGGCCAATCATTTCTATTTTGACGGTCTTTAATAGACAATGGTTCAGAATCCTCATTTTGCATAATATCAAGAGCCACGTTAAAAACGAAAATTTTGTCTATAACAACATTATTTCGCTCCCATAATTTATGAGATAACATATAATTTATTGAAATCTCATTATTTTCGCCTTTTTCGGACACTTGTGATTTTCAGGAACCATATTTTCAATATTTGATTGATCAATGTTCTCCAACATTACTTTTTCTGAAGTTTTTGGTTGATTTTTCTCTTGTACTTTTCTTTTTTGAGATACAGAGTCTTTTGAACCAACAGTCGACCACGCTTCTAAGGTATTTGAAATTCATTTGCTAAAGCAAATTGTCGTGCAGGGACATCAATTTTTGCTGGAATATATTTTGCCGATATATGTGTATTTGTCACTTTTCTTGTGTCAACAAATGCATCTGGTAATTGATTTGCAAATCTTTGTAAATGAATGATTTTTTCAACCTCTTGCTCACATTGATTGCTGCGGGAATCAAAATGAGATAGAGTTGTTTCATTCCAATAAATTTTACCTTATTTATCAGGATGTAGTTTTTCCCCTCCCAAAATTGGGAAAATCATTTCATCAAAATGATAATCTGCAAATCGTGCAGTAAATAAATCACCTGTTAAAGGTTCGAGATATCTAATAATAGATGGTGAATCAAAACCCACATAAATTCTAAGTCTTCGTTGGGGACCCATTTTAGTCCGTTGTGGGGTGAAATAGGGACTTGAACAGCACAACCAAAAATTCGCAGGTGAGAAATATTAGGTTCATGACCAAATGCTAATTGTAAAGTTGAATATTGATAATATGCAGTTGGTCTGATACGAACCAATGATGCAGCATGCAATATAGCATGGCCCCAAACAGAAGTTGGGAGTTTTGTTTTCATAAATAATGGTCTAGTAATAAGTTGTAGACGTTTAATAAATGACTTTGCTAAACCATTTTGTGTATAGACATGCATGACCGAATGTTCAACAACAATCCCAATTGGTATGCAATAATCCCCGAATGCTTGTGATCTAAATTCACCAGCATTGTCAAGACGAATATTCTTGATTGAATAATCGAAAAATTGCGCACGTAATTTTATGATTTGAGCAAGTAGTCTAGCAAAAGCTACATTCCTAATAGAAAGTAGGCAAACATGTGACCATCTAGTATAAGAATCAATCAATACCATAAAATAACGAAATTGTCCACATGGTGGGTGTATTGGCCCACATATATCTCCATGAATCCTTTCCAAGAAAGTTGGAGAT